TAATAAATAAATTAAAATAAATTAAAAAATAAAAAGTAAATATGACTGTGTCTATTCTAGTTCAGTATGTACTGCAGAAGAAAACGTGGCTTCTTTTCCCACTAGATCATCTAGTAGGTAATGCTCATCATGGTGGACAATAAGATTACAAAACCAAATCTCAAATCCAAAATACATTCATGGGTACATACATACATGTATGTGTGTATACATCTGTGTGTGTGTGAAAAATAAAAGGCTATTTTTAAACCTTTTATCTTTACTTTGGCCTGTTCTTCTTAGAACAGACTCCACCATTCTTATTCTAAGAGGCATTTGACCCTTTCATGTCCCAACTGAGTGTGGTATTACAAAAGACATCATATTAAGTACAAGTGGCTTAGACTTAGTTTTCCTTCCTAAGAAGTAGTAGATTCAATTAAATTTTTTAAAGATTTCCCTTTCTAAAAGTATGTGTTTGAAAAGGGAGGAATTGCAGATAGGGAGAGCTCCAGTTTGTATATAATATATGCGCAAAAATCTTACACCAACTGTGTGAACATGAGTAAGACTGAACAGACATTTGAAAATTTACCAACATTGCACTACCTTATCTTGTGATTTATATTAAGGTAAGGAAGACAAGTCAGTGCTTATTCTCATTACCAACAATCCTAAAAAGTTATTAATCCTAAATCTGACCTTAGGACTAAAGGAGCTACTTCTTTTATGCTGTCAGTACAAAACTGGAGTCATGAGGAAGTCTAAGTGTGATTCTAGAGATAGAAAATTGGCTAACTTTGACCACAAGAAACAGACTTTAGTGAACCGTGCTGTAAAATCCTTTCTCCTTTTCCTTCTCTCTCTCCTTCTCCTTCTCCCTTTCCTTCTTCTTCTTCAGGAACAGAGGCAGAAATGGCAGTGATATGAAGCTTTTAGTTTAAATAAGGATTGGCAAACTCTGATCCATGAATCAGATCTGACCCTCTGCCTATTTTCGTATAGTCTGTGAGCTAAGAATGTTTTTAAATGGTTGAGATTAATCCAAAATAATAATGACATTTCAGGACACATGAAATTCAAATTTCAGTATTTATAAATAAAGTAATATTGGAACAGCCACATTCATTTGTTTATATATCATATATCATTGCTTTCATGCTATATTGGCAAAGTTAAGTAGCTGCAACAGAGACCGTATATAATACTCTCATCACTTCACACGCCTGCTCAGTGCACTACAAATCACAGTGATGTAATTATAACTCAACAGCATTTCAAATGTCATGCATATGATTTTTACCATGAAATGATTTTTATGAATTGCCAGTGTGTATCTATCATGTCGACACAAGAAGAGAAAACTGCACTTTGAAAATTGTACTTTTAAGGCACAATGGAGTATGGATTATTTTATTATTGAATTAGATGCAGAAGAATGGTGTTTATTATGAAGTGACACTATAGCTGTACTAAAATAATTCAATATACATCAACATTACCAGACCAAGCATTCTATACACATATAGTGTATAGTTGGACAAATTTACCAAGCTTGTGAAAGTTTCTTGAACAAGAAGAACTGCCCTCAATCAGTATTATTGAATACTGAATAGCTTTGGATGGTAGCCTTTGCTGCAGCCTTGATAATGTCTCTTAATGAATTAAATCTAAAGTTATGAGGCAATACAGAGTTTATGTGTGAAACTTACACTGCAGCAAAGACATTTGGACAACTAATGTTTTCTTGAGTGACAAATAATTTTAAGCTGCCTTATACACATCATGTGTTGGCAAAGTTAAAACAAGAGTCAAGATTTTTATCCCCATACAAATTTACAGCGAGTACATTTTTGAGGCTCAAACTACAGTTCCAGCAGCATTTTTCAGATGTCTATTGATGCAAGTGGAAAAGAAATTTCATCATTTCAAAACCATCTAACTGTACAGTTGAGAAGTTTTCACCTAACCGTCAATTGGAAGTGATTAATCTGAAGTGTATTGACATACTAAAAGGCAAATATCAGAAGAGGAATCTCACAGAGTCTTGTTAATGTATTTCAAATTTTAAATATGATTAAAATCATATGCTGGTGGATTGATAACAGTATTTGGCAGTATTATCTCTGTGAAAAGACATTTTGAAAGATGAGATACTTTATAAAATCTCATTACAGATAACATTAACAGATGAATATTTATAATGGATTCTGATGACTGGGGACACTAACTTCAAACTCCAATGAAGCAAAAGGTTATACCCCTTCCTCAAAAAAGAGAATTCCATTTTTTAATTTATAGTCCTGTATTACAAAATATTATTTTGTAGTTCTCAAAATAATTTGACTCCTGGAGTACTCAATTACAATCATAATATACATTTCATCAATTTAAAAATATGTAGAAATTTGTTTTCTTTCTTCTTATGTAAGTACCTACACACTATCCTTCATTTTTCACTTGGCTCACAAACTTTAAAATATTTATTATCTGGGCCTTTACAGAAAAATTTGCTGACCTCTGATCTAAATGAAGTAAATCTGAATTCTGGTTCCACCCACAGACGTAGAAGAAACCGATGGCAGGAAGAAAGTGCTGGAGGCCACTGACCCCTGGTTGGGATGATTCTGGTCTTAAGGACTGCAGGGAAAGAGATTGGCTGCAAGGGTCATATCTGAGATTTTCTTCTCTCAAAGAGAGCAGAGGCTAGCATAAGGATTAATTCTCTTATTGTCAGAATTAGCCAGGTGTCTTTGAGAATCTTTGACCACAAGACCTTTAGGAAAGACTAAACCAATGTTAAATTTTTTAATTTGCACAAATAAAGAAATAAAACATTATTTTATTTCCCAATGTTGCTAAAACCAGACCCTGCTTATGCATACATAGAGAAAATTCTGTAGGGTGCCCACCAACATGTTAATATTGGTTCTCTCTGGGTCACAGGCTTATAGGTTATTTTACTATTTTCTTTTCTCTAATCTTTTTTCCCCCTGATCTTTCTACACTGGATATTTGTTATTTTACTCTTTCACTTGTCTTTTATATTTTTTCCTTGATGTTTCCACAGTGATTATATTTTATTTTAAAATTCATACTTTAAAAAATTACTCCAATTTAAAGTTATTTTCTTATTTATTAATGTTCCAAAATCATCGTGGGAGAGGACAAATTTTTACCATTTATTTTCAGATTACTTATGAGGAAAAAAGGTTGTAGTTGAAAGAAAGATCAGTAAGCTAGCTAAGTGTTTCCTCTGTAAGCACTTTCATTTTATTTCTTCAAGAAAACAAAATTAAAAAAATATATTAAAGAAATGCCCACATACAGACTAGGAAATAATGTTCCTAAGTAACTGAATATATTCATATCATTAACGAACACAGAAGGCACCATTGTTGCTAAAAGAAATACGAGCTTTTTTTTTCTTAAAAAAATAAAGTATACGTAAGGCAGTATAGAGAAAAGGAATGAACAGGTTTCTTGTCATGACATTAAAAAAGAAAAAGAAAACTTTTTAAATAGAATTCAAAATTACTTTATTGTTCATCGGTAAAAATTGTCTTACATTTTAAAAAAATCTAATCCTTTTACATTATCTCAAGTTATTCACAGCCCCGACCATTATGAATTCCTCTCACACTATGATTTCGTGATGTGCTAAATACCTTTAACATGCTAACTGTGAGCCTGAGAAAGCATCAGGTTCTGGAAGAAGTTAGTTGTCCTAGACACTCAGCAGCAGGACCAGGTTAATCACACTGTCACACCCCAGAATACTGAGATACTATCACTGTTCCTGCCAATGACTTTCTGTTTGTTTCCATAGAGTTATGTATTTATAGGAAAACGGTATGTTTTTCTAAACAGATGTTTGTGTTTGTTTACTCTGTTGACATAGAGAACACTTAGAAATTTTGGATAATTTCAATGATAAGAGATGACATTGACCAATATGAGTATCATTAAAGCCCACTATAGCTACCTTATAAATTGCATGTATAAAATCACAAGTCTACTTTTTCTGAAACTAGTGTCAACTCTTCATGTCTTCTTACTAGCCTCTAACATTTTCAAAAAGAAATAAGGAAGATCTAGAGAAAATCAGAACAGGGACTATTAAAATATTTATTCACTTCATTTTCCAACGTTTTAGGAAAAAATAAAAAAGAATGAAAGACTCTGTACAGACCAGTGTGAAAAAATTATGCCTTGTCTGAACATAACCAGGCCAGGAAAATAACCACTTTTCATTTAGTATTGATACTTGTTTGCAAGTTCATCATCAAAAAGATGAGATTTACCATTCCTAAGTTCTTCAAAGATATAGAGGATAAAGGAAGAGTTTTTATAATAATGTCTTTAGAACAGATTTTCATGTGAAGGGAGCATAGAATCACCAGTGGTTCTTTTTGTCAGCATACCTCTGGGAGGTACGTTAGGATTAAGTCTACTCTAATCACCATTTTTTAGCTGACAAAGGTGGATTTTGAACTAATGTGTTCAAACATGAAGTTTGCTCACGTATGAAAAAAGAAAAAAGATCAAGTCAAACTAGTCTTTATCACTAGTCTGGCAATCAATCACATGCCTTCCATGGAAAGCTGTTAGTTTTCCATACAAAGTATTTGCTTTGATATACCTTATAGAAATACAAGATGTGTGTTGAAAACAGCCTGTCTTCCTTCATTTTCTTGGGTTCAGAACTTTTAAAAAGTAGCTCACTTTTTTAAAAAGTGTGATTTCTTTATCACATTTTATGTCATTATTCTACAAATTAAGTCTTTCCTTTCTGTTGTAAGATACAAAAATAAAAATCACATAATTGTCACAGAAAGGAGGTTCCCCTGAGGATAAGAAATATATACCAAATTCTATTTGCTTATTAAATATTTTGCTGTGCTTCATAAAATACCTAAAGAATTTTAGCTTACCCAATTATTATTTCTTTAAAGGGTACCTTCTGGAGTATGGAGTTTAAATAGTTATTTACACTAAATAGTAAAAAGAAGTTTACATACCTTAAGTAGGTTTAGCTTACAATTTAAAGTCATCACTCTTAAAGAACTTAAACACCAAATTTGCCATGGTGGGAGCAGCATCCTCAGGTAGCGTGAAAGACAAGGCTGTAAAAAAAAAGTGAGAGGGAAGGACATATGACAGTAGGCCCAGGACAGAGGAATCCCTTTCTTAGGGCACTTTTGTTCAGTGAAGTCAAATCTGGATCCCTGGTAGCAGAAATTTACTTGGCAAAGTTTTTATTAAAACCAGAATTGGTAAAGGCTTCCACTTTATTTCTCCCAATATCCAATCAACTACTAAATCCTGGTGGTTGTTCATTAAAAATTTCTCTTGGACACATTGACTAAATATATAAATGTATTATTTAATACATGGATAAATAAACGAACAAACGAATGAATGAGGTATAGCAGTGAAAGGTCTTTTCACTCTATCTCTCAGGTGAGATGCTGCATCCTGATTCCTGGGAGATCTCTCCAAACACAGCAAGGTCAGTGGGTGAGCCCAAAAATCATCATGCAATTCTGCAAAAGGGAGATGGAATCAAGCTCAGTATCAAGACCTTCATTTAAAGGACAGGAAGGTATTTTGAAAAGTTAGGATAGAAGAGAATGTTGAAACTCACAACCTAGTTAGTAACTCCAGCTAATCCTTGGTGCACAAAACATCATGTCTTGCTGGTGACATGACTCCATTGTAAGGGCCACCCCCAGAGGAGGAGTGGCACTGAGCTTCCTAAAAAACTTCCTAGGCAACCAGGATTACGTCTGTGGGCCTGCATGTGGCCACAGGAGGATAGAGTGGCAGGAGGGCAGAGAAGAAAAAAGCAGGAGATTCAAGGCAGAAACCAACCAAATTCATCTAACTTCAGCCACTCTTCTCGTTTTTCAAGGTAGCTTAGGCTATATTTTAAAATTATTATGCCATTATTATTACTATGTTTTATAATTTGTTAAGTGCCTACGGAATTTATGTTGGCATATAAAAGTTTTTTTTCCTTTTGACTCACAACTAATTTGTTGACCATTTGACCATACACAAACTGCTAAGTAGCAATCTTTTCTTAAAGATCTTGAGCTATCTTCTACTCAGCTGAAAGCAAGAAGAAATAGAGAATCTTCTGAAAACTTCATAATACTTTCATATGAGTTGGAGACCTAAGGGGTTTAGATAATTCAGATATATGTACAGACGTGCGTGCTTGTCAGATTCAAGCCTTTTCAGATTTTCTTTTTAGTTTTTATGGTATCAGTTACAGAAAACTGTTTAACCTCCAGGCAGAACCTAGATATTTCATATTTCTCTCAGCTGGAAATTAGAAAAAGGAAAACATTCCATATGAAAGACATTTTTGAAAGACAAGTATACAGAAATATTTTCTCTAATAATATCTATTTTATATAGAAAATATCCTTAAGAAAGGTAAAGCAAGTTCTGTTGGGACACCTAGTATGACATGCATGATAATGTTCTTTATGGTTTATTTCACAATGCTGTGCTTTGCTAAAACAATGTTTACCTTGATTTTGGGTTTCTCATCTTGTCTTCCTCTTCCTGGCTTGGCTTTAGCTTTTAAACTAAAAATAAAAATAAATGAAGGCAGAGAAAAATTTTTACAAGCAAGTGTCTTACAAGAAATAACTGTAGTCTCATAAAGTTTTATCTTTTTTGATTTGTTGCAATTTGAGATGTAATAAAAACATAAGGCAAGCTTTAACATCATGTCCTTTAATCTAAACACAGTACTTTCTTGCCTACCATATCAGTGGAACTTACACATTTTAAAATTTTAGTACATGAAAGTTGTTTTAAATCTTAGTACTGCCGGTCTCTGCTAGGATTCCACTTATAAGTTTTTCAGAGGGAGAGAGACACGTGGGAAGCTTGGCATCACTTCTAATGTTACCAAATTAGATAGTGTGTGACAATGTCCAATTTTTCAATAAATACGATTTCAACAAACACCAAACTTGAAGATAATTGCACTGAAATCTGAAGTACAATATTCCACATCAGGTCAGAAATTGTACATAGAGTCTTGATATTAAAACAATGTAACATTTCAGTTTCAAATATATTTTAAGGCTAAGATTTAAACATACTCTGAGTACTTGATATCAAATTATGGAAAACAGCATGCTAAGTTTCAATTTTTCCAAGTAAGCATGTACTCTGGAAACACTGAACAAGAATATTTTCTTTCCTTGAAATGTATTATGTTTTTAAATCAAAGACTCATTTTTAAAAAAATGATACTCTGCTCCTGACAGTGGAGGGAAGGGTGTTTAATAGTCACTCTTCTGTGGGAAACATTAAGACAAAAATATTAGAAATCGCTTCACATGCCAAGCTAATGTTTAGTAGTTTTCTGAAAGGTCTGTGAAGCATCTACAAATATTTCTATAAACAGACTAATTTTTAAATTGAAAAAATCTTGCTCGCATACTAGGGAGAATTTGAATGGTCTATGAAACTTGTTTGGTCTTTGGAAACTAGCTGTTTCTTGGCTAAAAAACAATAGGCCCCTCGAGGTCATTTATTCCAACTGAGTCACTAACTCAAAGGCAAAGCATGATGTTTAAATGCTAGTGGAGACATAGCCCTCTGACTGTGATCCTTATTTTCATGATGCAGTATCATGTTTTGGATACTCCTAATGATATTCAAATCATGTTTACTTATCACAATCTGGGAGCTTCTTATTTGCAAACACTACATCTAATTTCAGCCTTATATCTCCCCAAGGATCGCCATACAGCAGAGGCCAATCCAGTGTTTATCAGTTGCATTCATCTAAGATGGGTTTTCTTCTTTCCTAATAATTTCACATTGTAACTTCTACCTGTTTTCTTTGTGGTGCATCTGCATTAGACCACTGCTTACTGATTTTTGTACCACGTAAGAGGAGCAAGATAGTACTACAATTGCCTACTCGATTCTGAGCCTGAAGTGAATAAACAGTAAAATTTTGGAAAGCTCCAGGAAGGGGTAGGAGGCAGAAGGAATGTGCTGTCAGGCATTTTTCTGTCTACTGGGGGATTTGGTGCAATAGAAGAAAACACCGGTGCAGAGGTAAAATGGGCTCATTTTCAAACTGCCGCCATTCCCTAAAAGTGATAACTTTTCACTGGGCTTTGGTTTGTCACCTGTGAAGTGGGAAGAGTAAGATTTACCCATTGGGATATTGGGAAGATAAAATGTTACATGTAAAGCATTCAAGATAATGCTATACACACAAATGGTAACTATTAAAATTTGAGCTAGAAAGATTATGGTGCTACAAAATAAGAAATCTTTTTTAGGTCACATTCCTAGCTAGAAGTGGCTCAACCTGTCAAAAGAGGTTTCCAAGTGCTCCCTCTTACTTCGTCAATATGTGCAGAAGGCTGACCCCATCCAGAGAATTCAGTTGCCATTGAGAAGACAGCTGAGAGCTCAATCATTGCATATAGTACCTCCCTGCCCTTCCCAGGTTGGTGAGCCATGTCAGAAGCTGCATTTCTGGTAGACATGTTAGAAACAAGCAGCATCCCTTAGAGTCAATCAATTAAGATAAAGTCCTTAGAAATCTCTCTGACAAAAGACAGAGTCACACATTGGCTTACAAAATAAAATTCGATCATAAAAGCAGGTGTGCTTCCTTGTATACAACTCCTTGAATATAGTTCCTCTCAATTGAAGATCTATGAAGTAAGGAGACAAATTATATACCCCCTGTACTAATCAGGGTTCTCCTGAGAAACAGAACCAATAAGATCTTATGTGTATATATGTATATGCTCAGGAGTTCCAGAGGCCTGTCTTAATTTTATACTGTCTTTATCTTGTAGTTGAAGCTGATACAACGACTTTTAAAACTTTATGGTCTTCCTTCTTATTAATTCAATTTCCACTCAGATAAAACCCAGACCAACATATTTCTTTGAGACAGTCCCTCTCAATCTTGGGCTCCCTGGGCTGTAGATGTAAGTTTGTGAATCATCAATGTAATAGATAGCAATTGAAGCTATGGGTGTGGATGAAACTGCTTGGACTGACAGAATAGAGATTAGAAGAGTGCTTATGATCAAACATATGCTGTCCAAAAAAAAACACAAAAAAATTTAACAAAAGTAAAAAGTAAAGACAAACTAGGTCATTTGTTTTTGCAATGACTATGATAGGCTAAGATTTGACAGCCTTAACACATAAAATGTTCTTATAAATAAAATTAAAATTATTAACATATCAGAAGAAAAATGGTCAAATGGATAGATAGATAGATAGACAGATAGATGATAGATCTCCAGACAATGAAATGCAAAGTCCCTTAACAAGCTATCAATGACTCGCAAATAAAATTTTTAAAAAACTTTAAAAAAATATCAAATTGAAGATTGGGATTGACATATACATACTACTATATATAAAATAGATAACTAATGAGGACCCACTCAATAGCACAGGGAACTCTACTCGATACTCTGCAATGGCCTATATGGGAAAAGAATCTAAAAAAGAGTGGATAGTTGTATATGTATAACTGATTCACTTTACTGTATACCTGAAACTAATACAACATTGTAAATCAACTATATCCCAATAAAAATTTTTTAAAATTAAAAAAAATCAAGTTGGAAAAGATTCTTTTGAAGTATTGAACTCAAAGTCAGGAAGGGTGAGAATAGATTGATACTCACATATACTACTGGTGGGGTTGTATTTTGATACAAGAGGGCAATATTTGAGCAATACGTAGACATTTAGAAAGTTTATTTACTTAGGAATTTCTAGGAAATAAATTTTAAAAGGTAGTTAAATATTTATGTGTGAGAATGTTCATTGAAGCACCATTTTTGTACAAGAATGATAGATGAAGTATCAATTTTAACAACAAAAATAATCAGGAACAATCAACATTTCCAACAATAGAGGAATGATTAAGTATATTGTGAGACATACATAGGATTAAGAATTTAAAAGCTAATAACAATTATGCTTTAATGAAATAGAAGCGTGATCACAATATGATGATAATTGAGGAAAGCAAGACATAAAACTGTAAAATATGATTCTAATTTAATCTAAAATATATACATGTTAAAATTCAGAAGCAAAATGTTAACACCATTTATCTGTGTGATGCAGTTATGAATGCTTTCTATTTTCTTATTTATTCTATCTAGTTTTCTCTTTCATTTTCCCACAATAAGCATGAATTACTAAACAGAAAACAGTAAAAACAATAAAAATGAGCCCAAAACATGTGATATTTAAGAGCTTTTCTTTGCCCAGCTGCATAAGCAAAAACTAAGTGCTGAGCAGTAAAGGCCCTATAGAAAAAGTAGACATCCTAGCACAGATGGCAGGATAAAAATGCAATATGGCGAGCGCAGAAAGAGATTCAGACTGAATCAAAACAGAGACAGTTCCCGTAGGTGGGTGGTTTTCTAAAAATTTGGCACAGAAACCACTTATCTGTACTAGATCTTGCCCAGAAGCATTAAAAGGAAAACAAACAGAGCTGCTCTGGCTGAAGACAGAGACGGAGGGCCAAAGCTCTGCTGCCTGCACCCTTGATCCCCACTCTCTGCCTTCCCCAGCAGACTCTGCAGAGGCATGAGGTCTAAGAAACACTGAAAATCAAGAAAATCATCTTATACTAAAGTTTCTCATCAACCACTCCCTAATAAAGATGACCTGGAAACGATCAGAATGTGCTGTATAATCGTCATGATTGACTACATATTACAATATAAGAAAACTTACTCAGTTCTTATAACAGGATAGGCTTGTTCCCTATTTCTCCACAAATTCATCAGCCCTCTCTATTAAAGTCTTCTTGAAAAAATATTATTCTAGATATTAACATCTATAGGTACTTGGCCTGGAAGGATTCTACCTTCTCTTCAGTTATCCAGAGCAAGAAACAGAAAAAAAAGAAAGATAAAGAAATGTGAGCATATCTGAAAAGGACTGTGGCATTGAGAGGCTGGGTCAGTTTTGGCTTGATCACCCTTGGCTGTGCTTAATGCCAAAGGGAAAAGAATCCTCCCCTGTGCGTTGGCCACACTGAAGCCTGAACAGGGACAGAATGACGGCTGCAGCAAAACGGCCTCAGCCCAGCGACACTGTAGCAAAGTTGCGGTTAAACTAGCAACTGCAGCTGTGGTGAGCAGTGCCTGGAGACCACTGAAGCATTTCGACAGGTTTTATTTATTGAATCTACTTAAAACTTTTCAGAAGTTTCAACAGGTTGCCTTTCCTCACTCAGATGCCGGTGGCTGCAGCAGATGAATGGGGACGTCTCTTCTGACTGTGTGAAAAACTATAGCACAAAAACACATTCTAGAACTATACTCCCCAGTGTGACCATCAGCACATGTGGCAGTAAGCTCTTAAAAGTAAGCTCTTAAAATGTGGCTAGTCTGAACTGAGACGTACTGTAAGTGTAAAGGACACACCAGATTTCAAAGTACAGAAAAAAAAAAGTAAAATATTTCACTAATAATTTTTCATATTGATTACATGTTAAAATCATATATTTTTGATATGTTAAGTTAAAATATATTACTAAAGTTATTTGTATCTGTTTCTCTTACTTTATTTAGTGTGAATTTTTAAATTACTTCTTTGGCTCACATTTATGACTGACATTAAATTTCCACTGGACAGCACAGTTACAGAACAAACAGAATTGGGGCTGAAGTTGTTAGTACCTCTGGTCTTATTTGGGATTTTTTTTTTTTTTCGTGGGGAGAGGAGAGGATTCCTTGTTCTATGGATGAAAAGAGAGAAAACAGCCCTGTCCTTCTGAGTCCTTGATGTATCCAATGGAGTTTGAGTTTCTTTGTGGAAGCAGGAAATACCAGTTACATTCCATAATAAATGAGGGAGATGTGGACTAACCCCAAAACGCACTCAGAAGGAGCCTTCTGTTGGCTTGTGCAATGGTTAAGAACTACATCAAGTCCGTTGGTCACTCTGATTCTGTTTTGTTGCCAAAATGAAAAGGAGAAAGTTATCTAAACAGATTTTTTAAAGGAATGTGAGTATTGACCATCAAAATGAGCTCAGGAATGCTCTACATAATAAGAGCTTGCCTTAACTTTTAGTCAGGGATATGTCCTCTTATATTTAGGTCTAAACCTTTATGCAGAACACTTTTGTCTGAAATTGAACATTAATCTTCTGAAGCCCATGAATTCGAAAATAACATTAAGTTATATATTCCTCCAAGTATCTTTATTCATCATTTAAATATATTTTGAGAGTCTGAGTAACATAACAGTAGATTCTAAGATGGAGTTTACATTACACAGTCTCATACTTTCAAGGGCCTTAGTATTTTCATTTGTTTATTCAACAGATATTTATTGAGCACTAACTATGTGCCAGGCACTCTGTCAGGCATTAGGTGCAATGGGAATAAAAAAGAGAATAAGATCACTGACCTCCTAGAAATCACAGTCCAGTGTGGGAAGTGGACCTTTATCAAATAATCATGTGTGAGTGTTCTGAGAAGCACGAAGGAGGAGCGTAGCTCCTTCAAATACAATAGGAGGAGTGAGGCCCTAAATCCAAATAACTACCCCAAAGCTGTTGTATTTGCTGTGAAGTATGTGAGGAGAACAAATGTAGCTGGGATACCTAATATATCCCAGCTACGTTATCTAGACATAATAATCACCTATTATCTAGACATGGCTAATTAAGCAAAACAAGATTTAATTTCAGAGAATGGCCAGGACTTAAGAATAAACTCATCCATTAGGGCCAAAATGTAGGTTGGTGGGGGGCGGGCCCAGTCGATAACAGCAGAAGGAGCTACTTGGCTATATTGACAGGCTTGTCGTCAACCTCCAGGAAATCCATGATATACAAAGACTGGGCTGCCATACTGGCAGAGACCCTTCTGTGGATCTAAATAACAAGGCAGGACACCACTACAAAAACTTAAACCATAGGTCTGGTGACCAAGTTCCGGTGACTGGGCATGCAGAATATAGGGGGATGGGGCGTGGAAGGGGAAAGAAATGATTAGACTTAAAAACCCAGCCACAGGAGTTTGCTATCAGAATACTGAGTAACAATTTTGACTTGGAGAACAGTGGCCAGTACTAGCCATGATCTGGATTACATTAGTAAGTGTGAGCAATGTTAGAACACCATGACCAAGGTCAGTCTGTCAAGGAACATTGCTCAGTGCCGAGTTCTCCAGTTTAGAAGACGAGGTAGGGACAGGGAGTCCCTGGTGTTTTCTGCTTTAGGTCAGCATTGCCCCCGAGTAATTTTGATACACTTCAAGAAAGATTTCTCATTAGATTCAAATATCTCCTAGATAGATATATTTTTGTGTGTGCAGTTGGGTGAGGGACTGGATTAGGAATATATACTTCAAAGGAGACTTCTCAGTGATTCTGATATGCACCCGTCCCTAGATAAGTACAACTGCTCTAGGAACTAAGGGGGAGAATGTTAGTGATCTTGCCATCATAAAATTAGAAAGGCAATGACGGGGGCAGGCAATGACAGACAGAAGAGATACATGTCATGATCATGAGCAAGTTTGTAAGAAGATGATGGTACTTTAAATAGGCTTTGAAAGAAAATCACGACTTAGAAAGTTGGAGGTGACAAGAATACCATGTGTAATAAGTGTTTAGTCATTTAAATTCATATAAAATGTGTAATATCCAATATATGAATATATTCATATTGTATAATATACAATACAGAGTTTATAGTCTTAATACATAAATCAAGACTGTAAAAATATATATTCTTCTAGTCTCTAAATATATGCAGTTGACCCTTAAACACCACGGGAGTTAGGGAGGCCAACCTTCAAAAATCCACGTATAATTTATAGTCGGCCCTCTGTAACCTTGGTTCCTCTGTACCCACATTTCCTCATAATTCAACGTTCTGCATCCCCAGATTCAGTCAACCGTGGATCATGTAGTACTGTAGTATTTACTATTGAAAAAAATCCGCATTTTTTTCAATCATTTTGAATTACCCACGTAATTCAAAACTGTGTGGTTTAAGGGCCAACTGTATTCTCTATACCTTGTATATCTTGCTTACCAAGTATTCAAATTTATAGTAAAATTCATTCATCAAGTCATTCTATGATTTTAAAATCATTAGTGTAATTTTTGGTTGATAGAGCTAAATGATGCTCCTTTTTTAGATGAGATTTTACATATAAAGTTCTTCCAAAGACTTCTCCATTAAAATGAATCTCTCTCCAACCACCATCAAATAATAGCAAAGACAGTGGCCCTTTGTCATAAATTTATTGATAGAAGTTGGAAAGCCAGAGGAGGAGAAAAAAAAAGGATGAGAGGGAAAGAGTGTATTAATCATGTTTCTAGTTTCTGCAAACTTGATGATTTAAAATCTGCCCTATGTGCATGTACCAGAGATACCTTATTCCAAACAACCTGGTAATTTCTCTGAGTCACCTTGCCTTGGCCTCCTTTGCTTTCTTCCCCCTCAGGAGGAATCATCCTCCCAGGGCCAATCTTTCCAAATACAAACCAACCAGTTCAGAGTCTACACTTCTCACCACCTCCCTTATTAGGCTCTCACACTCCTGGCCACAGTCCACCAGCCCTAATCACTGCAGGACCAGATGTGAGACACCTGGGACAGCTCCTATGCTCCAAAGTCCACTGAAATGATTCAGACTAGTCAATCCCAAACCTGTTTACCCTGCATATGGAAAACATGGTAAAGGCTCTGGCTAAAGGCAGTTTTTTCGCTCTGCCTCCGGACTGCCTGGTGCTTCCCTGTGGCCCTCAGTGGCATGACCTGTATTCTCTCACTTGGGATCTGTGTGTATAATAATAATTTTTTCCAATGGCCATTGTCTCCTGATATGTTGGCCTTACCATCCTAAATAATAATAAATCCTATCAAAACAAAAGAAAGTTAGGAAGAGGGGACAAGGGGGGTGGTTGTTGGCCAATTCTAGTTACCTGATTAAGAATCTGCGTGTTTTGCCTGCTTTGTTCCACGCAAGAAAGGCGAGATGGTTGCCTCTCTGCAAAGTCCAGTCAGGAAACAACTGGTGCTGGGACAGGGACAGCCGGTTGAAGCCCAGTTAATAAGCAGGACAATTGCAAGATGGGAAAGAAGAGGTAAAGAGAAAGGGCAATTGCTTCCAGACTCAGCCAGCGCCAGTGCTTGGAAGAGTTGTAGGAGCAGACGGGGCAGGGATGGGAGGGCCAGGGTATCTTGAGGTTCCTCCATGGGGAGAACTGGCTATGAGCAGTAGGGAGGGGACAGAGAGAAGGGTCTCATGGTTACTCCTTGCATTTCACATTCTTTTGACCTTTGAAAGGGATCCCAGGAGATCCCCTTCTCATAAACCTCTGCACATGGTGCAGGGATGGTCAGTACCACCAGGGAAGAGTTTTCCAATAAAGCAAAGTGTCCCAATCATACTTGAGTGATTTAAGCCCCACTTGTGCTGCCTGTGCCCCAGGCTTCTCCCAAACTCTTCAACCGTCACCAAATTTCTCCTCAATGTGACTGTGTGATTTCCCTTCTCCCAACCAGGGACATTTGAACCCAAAAGAAATTCCTCAACACCTGAAATAAATAACAGGATCTCTTCAATGGGCCTTCCAGTTCTGTGCTCCAGTGCCCAGACCAGAAAAATTTTTAAAAATCTTGGAATCACAGTGACGTGTGGTTTCTGAGAAAAACCACATGTGCTGAAATTCGTTAATTAATTTTAGAATTTATCTCATTCACATTTACTACTATACCATTTCCCAATGGGTAGAAAAATATTTCAATATTTAATAAATAGTGTGGCTATTTTGACATGTGCCCTCTGAGTATAAGCCCTGGATTATTATATTTAAGACAAACTCCAAAGAGAGAAACCTTTCATAAACCCAACCAAAGAGATTTTAAATAAAAGATTTGTACGTACTTACAGAGACAAAAAAATCATGTGTCTATACACACACACACACACACACACACACACACACACACATTAAACTGACACTACTTTAAAGGTATCCTGTATTTCTGAATATAGAAATCTCTTTCTTTTCACAGGTTTGCCATTTTGCAGTCCCAGTGTTAGAGGTTCTCCATGCCAACAGGAGTACTCTTCCTTGCAGCATGAAAGGCTCTTTGTTATTGTGTTCTTGTGCTACTTTCCCATTCAGCATTTTGCAGAATCCCACAGTTATTCTCCACACTATCACAAATAAAAAGAAAGCAAATGGAGCTTCAGAAAATTGGTACAATTTGTAGAAAGGGAAAGAGGAATTTGTAATAATTTTATGTTATAATATCATGAATTCTTTTACTTAGAATTCAAGGTCATGTCTTCCAAAATAATGAGGGTTTCTGTGAATGTTAACAATGCTTTTTGAGATCCTCTACCTAAAATTAAATGCAGTCCCACAACTCCTTGGGGACCTCCAGGCCGCTCTAGAAAGGCTCCAGATTGCATGAGTGCCTGAGCCTGCATCAGGGTAGAAGACATCTGTTTCCCACTCCCTAACATCCTTTGTTTGGTAACAGTACCATAATGTGCCTTTAGGGAATCTCTTCACTCTAGCTCTCAGTCCATTCATTATAGGTGAGGCTAACCTTGGACCCTGGCGCTGGAAGTGAGCTCCTGACCCCAAGCCAAATGTATAATATTCAATCTCAGGACATTAACTGGAACTTTGTAAGAGAGATTCTTTCTCTAAAGCTTCCCAGCTGGTAAAACATAAGTCTGAAACTTTCGGTGAACACGTTCACCATAAGTTTGGAAAAGATTCAGAATGAAACCAGCACATAGGAAAGAAAGCAGAGTCAAAGATGGTGAGGTGGACACAGAGATGTGCCACTTAGGTTTCTCTTCAGGGAATGACTGGATGCCCAGCTACAGGGAGTGTGGTCATCAGATGGTCCCCAGCTGTCAGCTTCTTTAGAGTCTGCCTCAGCTACGGAGACCTGCCTCACCTGAGATCATGCCCTTCATGGCTCAGCCCGCATTAGTGACTGAGCAAGGTCGCATACAAAGCCTGGCTATTTTGACCAGTCTTGGGAAAGACCTCACAGTCAATACAGAGTATTAACTCAGCTGGTTGGTCGAGGTTTTGCGGGGCCTTCATCATGGTTTCATTTCTCCCTCTGCCTTTCCCTTCACAGGTAACAGCTTGCACTCTGAGCTCCATCTCAGCATCTGCTTCTGGAGGACTCTACCTGTGGTAGGTAGAAGAAAATAGATGACTAATTATTTGGGAAACCAGGTATGACTGAAACAAGTTCTCTTTCCAGACTTCTAGTAGATTGAGTCAATGAAGTCTCTAGCAACTGAAAGGCTCTTAGCAAAACAAGCTCTATAGACCATAACACAAAGTTCTCATGGGAAATTCTGATAAATATCTGGTTGTACCTGGATATCCCATTTTTGCATTTCTAACCACCAACTCTCTCACTCTCTTCAAACTAATCTGGTAATTCATCTTAATCTTCTCAGGTTTATGAGAAATGAAATCTTGCCATCCAAATTACTGAAGACTACATAAATCATTAATGAAAGAAGGAGGACTTGAGTCCAGAAATGTCTTATTCCAAAGCCTACTGTGGGTAGCAAGGAAAAGATGTATTTAGGAAAGGAGAGTGAGTTTATTTCTAAGGTAAGGAACCACTTTGTCCAGGTATAGGGAGCCAAGAAGGGCAGAGATGGAGGAAATGAGATTATGAGCTAATATTCACCCCTAATTTATATGTACTTCCATCCATGGCTTTTGTGTCTTTCCACTCTGTCCTATAGGTCTCCCATTATATTAAGGGCAGATTTTATAGGGAGTTCCCCAAAGCATTTTCTCACCTCTTGCTCTACTAAAAACCTGCTGATATAATATAATAATTATATATTATTATAATAATATATAATGACATAATAATAACACAATGCTATTCTCTGCCATTTCCTATATAGTCTTCACTTCAATACCACTCTAGACCTTGGCAGGAGGAGCCCCTACTCAGAGCACTAACAGTTAGAGGACCCCACTGGGCTCTCTCTCAGCTATCCTTCTCCCAGTGGGGTGAGGAATCTATTGGGCCAAGTGATATGCTTGTGCTTACCCTTCCAGGCACACTCCAGGCTCCAGGGACCAGAGAATTTCATGTTCCCTGCATAGACCACTTCCTCTGGCTATATTCCAGAAGTACCAACATGACTGGTGCGTACAACTCTAGGTCCAAGAGGGTGGGTGGCCAGGAAGTTGTTGTTTGTTGAGAGTGCAGGCAGAGGTTACAAAAGTAGACTAAGATTGGGAAGAAATAAAAGGGTGTGCTGTGTACCAGAAGCCAGCACAGAACTATAAGGAATTCCAGAATTCTAAGTTGGAACTGAGCCGAGAGGTGAAGGGTAATTTTTTTTTTTAATTCCCTTTATTCTTTGTTGCCTCTAAATCATTGAATTGCCCTGCTCTTTTCATCTCTAATCATTTGAAGTCTCAGAATTACAGAAAATCAGCATTGTAAGTTCTCCTGAGGGTAATCATAGGTCTAAGGGACCCTTACTCTGTATAAATCTGTGACATTAATTCGACTATACCCTTGCCACTGACTAGAACACTTACTGCTCTCCTGTCTCCTAATGCAACTCAACAGAGTGACTGTTGAATACCACCTACATTACTGAGCACCTACTATGTCAGACACCAAGAATTCAAATGATTAGGACATAGTTTCTGCTCTTGAGGAGTTCATAATCTAGTGTGTATAGTATGTGTTTGTAGTGTAGTCTTTGTATATGTGTGACTGAGCCCACAAAACAATGGTTATAATAATATGTAACTATGAATGGCATGATTAATTAACCATAATTAATTTATAATAATTTATAAATAATTTGGGAGAGGTAGGGTAGGAAGGGCTGGTAGGGGGAAGAATGGGCCTTGGATGGTTTCAGAGCAAAGGTAGCACTGTTTTGTTTTTTAAATATTTATTTATTTTATTTATTTTGGCTGTGCCAGGTCTTAGTTGTGGCACGTAGGATCTTAGTTGCAGCATGCATGCGGGATCTAGTTTCCAAATCAGGGATCAAACCCAGGCCTCCTGCACTGGAAGCATGGAGTTTTACCCACTGGACCACCAGGGAAATCCAGTAGCAGTGTTTAAAGCAACATGTTGTGCTCAAGGAATACCAAGTAGCTCTATTTTGTTAGGTCTTCAAATTTAAGAGGTTGAGAAAGCATGATAATAACTAGTCAGAAAAGGCAGAATCAAGTCACGGAGGACCTTTGATGCCCTTGTCTAATAAGGCATTGAGACTTTACCCTATAGATTGAGAAAAGAACTTGAAGAATTTTATACAGAAGAGGGACATGATCATATTTAAATTTTAGAAAGATTATTTGAGGGCAGAGGTGGATTCAGGCCAAGACTGATTCACAATCCTGGGTGAATCAAGGGTGACCACATCATTGTTGCCAAACAGGCATGCTTTGAGACTGTAAAAGGTGCACCATGATCAGCCCACTCAGAAAATAGGCATAAACTGGGACCATCTCTGGAAAACTAGATGTATGTTTACATAATTTGAGGGGATTTAAGGACACTGGGACCATTTATGAGGTTTCTGAAATGATCTAAGTTGGAGACAAAGAAACTCCATGAAAGCAATAGCAGTGGGGATAAAAAGGAGAGATGAATTTAAGAGATAGTTGGAAGATAAAACCGGGACTCTTTGATTAATGGTTGCAAGGATGAAGAAGAGGAGAGGTACTCTGCTTTCAGCTCTGACATGTTTCAAGTCTGGAAGATGTCCCATTTGTCCTTAAGACAAGAAAAAACTGAACAAACTGAAAATTAGTGACTTTTCTTGGACCCATCAGAGAACTAAAGTCACAAGGCAAACCTCCACCCCAAAATCTGGCAAGACAGAAGAATCCAGAGTCATAGCTAAGATATATTTATCGGGGGAAGAAGCCTCTGAAACCATAAACTAGTAGGAACAAAAATTGTAATTCTGATGAATTACTGGAGACTCAGTGTGGGCTAGCATGAGGGTGAGAAACTCTTTAAGGGCACAGTCTTAGGGAGACCACCCACACTTCTATGGGTTATGCTTCCAGAAATCCCACCAGGTTCTTTTTGTGAAAAGCCAAGAAAATCCCCTTATGGCTCTGGCAGGGGGAGGGGAAAAGCACAGATATGAAATAGGTGCAGAGCTCCACAGTGTTCTCTATAACAAAGGCTTATATTCAGAGGGAAAAAAAACTTTACAGAACCTTATCCAATGAGTGGAAAGGACATTTTCCTCGACTCCTGCTCCTCTAGCCTTCCCGTCTGATATAAGGAGAGGAAAAAGGTGAAGAAACACCTGTGAAGGTAACAGCCCAGGAACTCAAGCCCACTGAAAGACTGAGATTTATTCATAGGATTAGAGAACGCTTTCCCTTCCCATATCTTACCACCACATCAACAAGGCTCCAGAGTAATAGCAGTGGATTACAGGTTAAAGGGCTGCAAGATGCAGATTCTGTCCAAGGAAGAGTTCTTAGGGAAGCTCAAAGTCAACAAGAGAGACAAAATCAAGGGCACTAGAGGAAGCTGAAGCCTCTGACATCTACAGCTAAAACAAGCAACATGGCCCAACCCAACTCCTAGCAGATGAACATAAAACTGCACACCCAAAGTTTATTTACTTCAATTCTTATTATACAATACATCATAGCTTTCAAAAATAAACTGCAAGGCATGCAAAAGGCAAAAAAAGAAAAAAGTTTCAAGAGAAAAAGCAGCCTCAGAATAAGACCCAGATATAGCATAAACTTGGAATTTTCAGGCAGAAATTTAAAATATCTGTGGTTAATATATTAAAACGCTCTAATGGAAAAAGCAGAAATTATGCAAGAACAGTTTGATGATGTGAGCAGAGAAGGAAACTCTAAGAAAGAAAACAAAAGGAAATTCTAAAAATCAAAAACAATATAACAGAAATAAGAATGAAGATGGACCCATCAATATACTGGATATGATGGAGGAAAGAATCAATGAACTTAAAGGTAATTCTGTAGAAATTTCCCAGACTGAAATGCAAAGAGAAAAGGAATGAAGAAAGTACAAGAGAACATCGAAGGACAGTGTGACAATTTCAAAGGATGTAATATATACATAATTAGAACACTAGAGGAGAAGAAATATTTGAAGTAATAATGGCTGAGAACTTTCCAAAATTAATGACAGATACCAAACCACAGATTCAATAAGCTCAGAGAACAAAAACAAGATAAATACAAAAATATGTATACTTAAGCATATCACATTCAAATTGCAGAAAACCAAAGACAAAGAGAAAAATCTTGAGAGAGAAGGAAAAGTAAAGGATTAAGGATAATTCTCAGACATCTGGTATGGGTGGCACCTACACTGTAGGAGGAACAGGCTAGTAAACTTTCCATCTTGATTTCAGCTCTAAATTATTCCTTCTATCACTATAACCTCCACAGCATCTGCCAGTACCCAGGCCAAGACCTCTTCACTCTAGACCTGGATTCCTACACCAGTGTTTTAGGTACCACTCTTGAATTCATTTTCTCTCTTCCCTTTCATTTTCCAGTTTGAGTTCTGCCCTGTACTATTTTCTTAAATAATATTACTCCTAAGTTCAACTTTTTTCCAATGCCACTGATTTTTTACTCTCTTGGGTACGTTAAAATGTTTAAATAATAAGGTAATGTGGTTTTATTGGAGAAAAAGTTGAAAACAGTATAAGGAAAACAAAATCATCCATAATCCTATAGTCCAGAGTTAATAACTGCTGGTAAAAACTGATGCCATTTTCCAGTATTTTTCTCTCTCTAAATAGCCATACTTCTCCTATCTCTGAGTCTTCACACATGCTGTTCTATAGGCTGGGGATACTCTTTCCTGCATTTATGTGCTTTCAGGAATAGTAGTTAAGCATGGTGATACCAACCCCAAAAAAGCTGTAACCTTGGCACATAATGCAGGGCATCCCTATGGCCTGGTGTGTATATATATCAGCAAGAGTAACCTAGCAACAGTACACAAACACTGTCTATCAAGCTGTGCAGGCTGAGTCCTTAACATCAACACTATGTGCCGGGGAGAAGCAATGGCAGAAGGGGTCTAATCAGGCAGACAGTTCTCTCTCTGCTTGGTGTTGGAACCAGGACAAAGCCTCACACTTACTTCCTTTGGACTAAGTTCTGAGGGTTTGGGGGTAATTTTATCTTGGGGGGAGAGAAGGGCTGAAAGAGAGATACTGTTTCTGTTGTCGTTGTCCGAAAAAGTGTAGGGGAAAGGTGACTGATTGGGGGAGGGTTTGGAGATGACCATATTATAACCATATTTGTATCCTGAACTTTGAAACACGTCACACTAGGCCTTAGTCTCTGCATGCTCTTCATTCTGCTGAAGCTCAGAGGAGCAGGAACCACATGTATCTCTGTAGGATGAATTCCTTAAAGCCAAGTGACTACTCCTTCAAAACTTAGGCCAAGTGCATTGTTGTCTTGTTCTACCTTAGAAACAAAACATAATTTTCACTACTTTCCAATGCAAGCTCTAGCTTATAAACAAGTAAAAATCAGGAAACTTCCTCTTTTTCTTCAAATGCATATTTCTTCATTGATCCAAGCTAAATTTTTCTGACTCTTGGAATTACAAAAGAAAATACATAGTCTTTCATTAAACAGACTCAGCAAATAGCACTTCAGTTTCAGAACAAAGCCAGTATCATGGCAGACAAGTCTTGATATACAATATTGCCCGATTAACTCCTACAGGTGCGATTATAAAAGATCTCTTTCATGATGCGGGTTGATAAATACTTAAAGATATTTACCTGCCTTGCAAATGGACACTTTCCC